CATTTCATCCATTTACACACAGCTTCATCAACACTAACTCCACACACTCAGCTTACCAGTGGCTGTCAGGTTAACCATGTTACTGATGGGACCCTCTCTGGCCTCACACCAGTAAACTCCACTGTGTGATGTGTAAATGTAGCTGATGTTACAGGAAGAACCAGCTGCTTCTCCCCACCCATCTCCACACTGAGTCCTCTGTTGTTTACTTGTGTTTCTCCTCAGAGTCCATCCAGCAGAGCTGTCGTCCTCCTCACAGATCAGAGACACAGAGTCTCTAATAAAGAACTGAGAGCTGCTGGGACTCACAGTCAGACGAGCTGTGAAGTGTTAAAATGAAAAATCATCTTTCTTATAATGTTAATACAATTGCAAATTCATTCAATCACAGATACCCTTCACCAAATCTAAAGAATGAGCAGCTCATATAATACTGTACAATGTTTTTTTGTGATTTTGGTGGCCATAACCACAAGCATAGAGATGATAAAGTCATGTAGTTGCATCAATACTGTCATCCCCCTAAATTTCAGCATAAATCATTGATGAGATCTAGAAATAGTAACTTAAGTCTGATGCAAATAACAGATCATGGAATTTTATGAATCCATGCATTGATTGAATAATAAATTAATTAATCATAAATAATAATAAATAAATAAATAAATAAATAATTCTGTTCATCCGGACGCATAAATTTTTGGTGGGAAAAATGTTTTACCAATCATCTAAGTGACTTCTTCAGTCTCTTAAACAAGTGTTTGTTTTTTTTCATAATACAACATAGAAAACTAATCAAATTCTAAAAAAGAGACATTTGATGACAGCATCAGGTCTCAAAAAAGTTTGGACAACAGGCAGGAAAAGGAAGTGGTCGCAAAAAGAAACAGCTGGAGGAGATTTTGCAACAAATTAGTTGCAAAAGTTAAATGGCAACAGGTTATTAACATGATTGGGTGTAAAAAGAGCATTTTAGAGAGACAGAATTTCTTTCCAGAAGTTAAGATTGGCAGAGGTTCACTAAACTAGAAACCAAAAACCACAACTATAAAATTCCAGCAGCTCAGTTCCCATGAACGGTTTATGAACGGTTGTTAATAAAAGAGGGGATATGTCAAAGGTAGCCCGTGCCAACTTTTTTGATCTAGGTTGCTGCCATCAAATTTAAGTGACTTTTTTGTCTTAAAAATTGTCTAGTTTCCCATTTTAAATTATTAAATAATTTTTAAACATTTGATATGTTTTTAATGTTATTTCAGTGCTGTGAAAAATATTTGCCCCTTTACTGAGTTCTCTTTTTTTTTTGTGCAAATTTCTCACACATACATGTTTCAGCTCAAACAAAAAGTGTGATCATCATGTAAAATACAATTTCATTTGTTGCAGAAAACCTCAACTATCTCAACCTCATGGCGCTATATGAAAAAAAGTAAGTTCATGTGAAACCTGGCCCCACCTTATCATGCAAACACAATGAGCGAAACTCTGGCTGATTGGCCCAGAGTTTCACACCCAGTTTC